ACCCTATGAAAATTCTGAGAAAGCGTTTCGAGTGCTCTATGTTATCATTTTTGTAACGATGGCTTCTGTAAAGTAAAATAAAGATAACATTAGTGGATATGAAACTTACGTAACAACAGATGTCTCTAGTAAAACCTTTGTAGTCGCGCATAACGCACAAGATACGTTTTGGACGAATAAGATTGAATGAATCTCTAAGAAATCAATAGCACCTACCCCCTATACGCATTACCCTAACAAACGTAAACATTTTGAGTTCTGTCAGAAGAATTACTTGTAGTTCGAAAAGATAAAATATAATCCTGAACACTATACTGACTTTGTGCGTTATGTGTGAAATTCGTTGCTGTAATACAATTGTAGTACATAATTTTTAATGTCAAATAACGCCCAATGGGCTGTAGGTACAGAAATTTAAATACATTAATTTGTTGAGATAGGTCAAGGTAATTGGGCGGATGCCTGCGCCTCAATAATAAAGCCGCACTTATTTAAATTGCAAAATTCTGTTGGCTTTTCATGTTGTGATAGAAGCTACATTTCACGTTTTAGTTCATCCCCTTAAAGAGGTCGTCAAATTAATTTTATTCAAACATTGTTTTGCGTAACAAAAAAAATCGCTGTTGTCGGTGTTGGTGAATGGAAAAGGGGAACCTTTTAAACAAATTAGTGGGTCCAAAATCAAAGGCTTTTAAAAGGGTCATAGACATGTTAAAGAACTGTTTATAATCCACCCTCTAGTTTCGATAGCTCGCATTAATAAAATGCTGTCAGTGGCGGATTTAATTTGTTTGCGCCCCTAGGCACACCGAAAGATATGCGCCCCAAAATAATCTTTAAATTGCAATAAATTTTAAAATAAAAATCCAATGATAACATGAAATTTTTAAAACAAATATGAAAAGACTATCTACCAATTCCAATTTATTTCATAATTTTAATTAAACATTTTTGTCATTATTAGGGCACTTATTTTAAAACTTAAAATGTTACCTAAAATAAATATAGTGGAAAAAATGCCGCCCCCTAAAGCTGCCGCCTCTAGGCACGTGCCTTAAGTGTGCACATATATGTAAATTCGCCACTGACTACGATCATAGATTAAAATACTACTAGACGCCCACTTCGTGTTGAAGGACAAACTTCTTTATTCCACGTCCGTGGTTCCAAAAGATAGGGAGGGTTGGATTTATCCTCAGCAGTTCCGAAAGAAGTTGAACGATCCTTCGCCCTTTCCGCCAGCGTTTCAAAGACGAATGTTAAGGTGGCGTTTACAAAAAGTGCAAAAGATGCTTTGCGATTTCCTCAATAACTTTGTTTCCAGGTAAAAAAATTAACTTCTGTTAACGACCGATGGTTGCTAAAGGTTTAAGCTTGTGCATGAAGTTAAATTTGATAACTACCTAATTATTATCAGTGTGTGATAAAAATGAAAGATATATATTTTATATGGGAGTTTTTTAACAACTTATTTGCTAAAATAACGGCGAAAGTGCAGGAATTAGCTAAATAATTTTTGTTTCATGCAAATGTGGGAACATTATATATTTGAATGAATGTTATTTCAACCAAAACTGCATAGCCAGAAGGAAGGTATTGTGGAAACAAATTTCCACTTTTTCATTGTAAACGCCACCTTAACAGACTGAATGTAAAGTTGAGTTCTTTATACCCGGATAATTTGCATTGGAATAATTCGCAATCCGCGGTAATTCGTTTCCTGTTAATTATAATTTACGACATGATAATTTGCACATAGGCATATCGCTCGCCTGTTCTTAACTTTTCATTCAATTTAAAAATTATTAGAGAAATGTGTCACTTGGCATTGATCGACCTGCCTGTCCGTCTGACAACAATTTTCTAATTTTGAACTAGTCATTTTACAGAATACATTTTAGCGTATCTTATGAAACAGAAAAGTTTGTCGTTTCTTGCGATAAGTTGTATTAAAATATGATGGTTTCTGAACTACAACTAGAAAAGTTGCATCTCGACTACTCGCCCAAGTAGCCAATCCATCCACTTTTTCCTCGCCTCATAGGTATTCTTGTCGGAAGCGTTGTCGTAACATTTCTCTGATTATTGCTGTTTGCTTGCTGTACTCGTCCGATCCTTGGAACTTGGTCTGCTGTCTACTTGTGGCCGCCGAAACCGATTGGAAACCGTCACCCTTTACCAGGAGCAAGGATTGAAACCTCTTGGTGGTGTCCGAGAGCAACCAGCCCGTTTGCCGAAGACTACAGCATCTACCGTTTCGTTTATAAATTAATTCTATTATTTATTTATTTTTGATCTCACTAATTTAAAGCCACCGATTTGAACGGTCTACCGAAGTTCGTCTCAACATGGGAAATCAAAAAAATTCCCAGATCTCCTGGAAATTTACTGATTTGTCTGGGAATTGGTTATTAGGTCCAATTGCACTAATTCTTAGAAATGTGGGAAAGATAAGTCTATAAGGGTACTGGTAAATGATTACCAGGATTATTACCCACGTATAAATTCCTAAATTTCAATTTGGTAATGTAAGGCCGGATGTCCACCGCATCGGAACGACCAAGATCGGTGCGATATGAATCGTCCGATAAAGATCGCGCGCGTGCGCTTCTAATGAAGCCTGTCCACAGGCTCGATTTTTGTCGGGACCGATCGAAATCGCAACCGACTATTTTCTCCCGACGCGACGCTCTTGCACGATCATTTGTCGGCAGTAGTGTGTCATAATAATCAAAAGTGCTGATAATCTTTCTTCTACCGTGACACATCTTCTGTAATTGGTGTCCCTTTTGGCAATTCATGGTCGAGCAATGTCAGCCAAAAGGAAAAAACTACTCTTGGACATACGATACATACATTTAAATTTGTGTTCATAATTCGCAAGTTTACGGGCACAAATGAAAGCACCTCTTTTTCTATTATTAGTTATGTACGGATGTACCGAATAACTGTGGCGGCGAATTTTCTTTCTCCTGTGGTGCAAAAGCATGACAACTGCTTCGTCTTCACTTGACATTTATATGTTAACTGTCAACCCGATAAAAATCGTTCGAAAGGCGATCGACCTATGGACATGAATTGCCAATTTTAGTCGGCCGGATCAATCTGGATACGACTACAGTTGGACCGATCTTCGTCGCCCCGATTTGGTGGACATCCGGCCTAATTCTTATTCAGCATGACCCTATTTAATGAAAATCGCACAGAAAAGGGGTATTTCCATTAGAAAAAGATTAATTCATTTTGGGAGTACAGTACACAATAGCTCAACAAAATTTGATTAAAAAATTATTATCTTATCACAATCTTCTACGAATAGTTTTCTAAACTTTTCCAGGGCTTTTGATGGGTTTTGTCGACTGCTAAGGAGTGCACAGAAGGTTCTTAATTGTTTCAAAAAGGTTTAATGTGTCCCTTAAATGAACCTACCACAGCTTTCGATGCGCTTTTCTAGATTTTACCTCTTTACAACTCCTTACAACGCTCAGGAGGACTCTGGTCCATGCCAATAGGTACGTTTTATATTTATCCAAAGGTGCAATTCTCGGAATTTTTAGGTAGATCTACTAATGCACCTGACAGGGGTGATGTCAGAGCTTTCTATGTTCTTCTCACTTCTCAAATTCTCAGTATTACCCCTAGTTGAAATATATGCACGAATTTTCATTCAATTGCAGTACCTATTTTAACTGTGTATAATTAGATAAAATAAAGCTTATTTCAAATAAACAAATCATAAAACCATTTATACTCGAATTTTTATTTACCTACATAATTCTTACTTTTCGTGCCGGGGCGGCCATCGGAATCGCCGGAAAACCTAGTGACTTCACAGAAAGATCCGGCAGCTCTTTTTCATTCCCAAAGTGTAAATTGCGAGTTAGATCTGTGGATTAATTTCAAATAACTTGTATGCCCCTTCTACGCTTCCGTACCGGAACATGTTTAAGCTGAGATCCCGAAAACGGTTCTCCGCAGGTGCAATGTATAGGTGCCTACCACAAAAAAATGAGATTACAAAAAAGTTTTAAAAAACCATAAGGAATGTTTACATCGAAAAATCCCAAGAACAAAAGATTTCCAAGACAACACACAACTAACTAATTATAATAGGTAAGGGTCAGGATGGAGGTTCAAGGTAATTTAAACAAGTGTACGCCAAATTACAAACACCGTCAATGTCAATACAGTAGGAACGATATAATCATCTCATCTTTCTATAAATTGAAAATGTTAAGAGCTTTCCAGTAGCGCAAAAAATAATTCCGTTTTGCGTACATCAGGCTCACAATTATAGGTATAGGTATTTATGACAGTTAAACACGCATATATTTTAGATTCATTAATATAATCGATGCAGAGACAATTAAATAATTTTCATCTTCAGCAGCATATCGAGTTGTACTATAAAGGTGATGACCTAAAGTTAATTTACAAGGTTATAAACAACAAACATTGCCGAATCATTAATCATAGTTATCCTTATCCATATCATCATTCAATAAAATTGTAATATCATTGACCTTGATTCTGGGCGTCTTCTTTAAAAAATGATGCGTTGTATTTCATTTACTTGTATTCCTTCTGATGTGTAGCAACAAAACTGTAATTAGCGCAACCGCATTTAAATAAAGGTGAAACTGAAATTAAGATACTTTCTAACTTTTACGGTTATATCAGTTAATGTGAACGACATAATCTGGCAAGGAAAGCCCAAGCAAACCAAACGAGACGAATTTTTAGTAAAATACAAGTTTTCACCTTCCTGTGCATTAATAAAGTACGTTATTTTAGTGCCGAATCAGTCACGCTTTATCGAATATTGCCGTTATGGCACATCAGAACACCGTCACATTTTGAATCGTCACTTTTTGCGGTTTTTTAACGAATTGATGCTCAATATCTTCCAAAAAGCGCTCACTGTTGACAACTTCCTGAAGTGAAAACCCGCAGTTTATCTACGCAAATAAAGTTTCCGCAATCGTTCCGATAATGTAATCATTAAACTTAAAAATGGGAGAGTGACCACGGACTTAGCAGTATTATAACAGACTACACGATGAACTATCTCGCCTACCTCTTTCCCGTCTTATTTCAAATCCAAAACCAAACGGATAATATGAACAAATCGATGGTGATGGTGAGTATAAAGTGCAACATTCTTTTGAAATGATGAGGCTTTATGTGTTCAATTAAGAATTATCTGCACGATTTTGGATACTTGCCAATTACAAAAGCAACGGACAATGAAATGAAAGCAGCTCTTCAAGATTACCAGTATTTCATTGGCATGAAACCTACAGGTAATGTAATAACCTTTCTTGAAACGAACACTAAATTCATCATAGGTGAAATGGATAACGAAACTATGGATATGATGTTAAGGCCGCGATGTGGAAAACCCGATGAAGAAAAGGAGCGAACCAAAAGATACACGTTTCTCGGTATGTCGACTGAACGCGGGGTCAATTATTAGTATGCTGTTAGTTTAGGTAACAGCACTTGGGCCAAAAAAGATCTTCTGTACAGGTTTGATAGCTACCCGTTGGGAATCAACTCCAATGATGTGCACGCGGAGTTTAAACGTGCCTTTAATGCGTGGGCGAAATATGTTAAAATGTCTTTCAAACTAGTTCAAAACACGGAAACTAGTGATATTAGCATCAATTTCCGATCTTTAGATGGCGAAGGGAGAAGTATCGGTTACGCATTGCATCCGGTGAGTTCGCACAATTCATATCCTTAAATATTGTAATTGTCACTTCCAGACGCACGGTGTTGTAATTCTGGACAAAGACGAAACTTGGACAATGGAAGGGGAGGGTGTAAATTTGTTTCAAATTGCTATACACGAAATCGGCCACTCTTTAGGTTTGGGCCACAGCAGTAAACGCTCCTCTGTTATGTACCCATATTATCTTGGCTACAATCGCAATGCCGGATTAGATATCGACGATATTAAAGGCATAACGACTCTTTACGCGAGTCACACGAGCGACGCTCGTTCTCCAAAGGGAGATAACACCGAGCTTTGCAGGGATCCAAAAATTGACACGATTTTCACAGCGCCCGATGGTTACGTGTACGTACTTAAAAATAACCAATATTGGAAATTTTTGCCGAACTTCGTAATGGTGGACGGTCCAGATCTAATTCAAAACCGTTGGCCTGGTTTGCCCAGTAAGATTGATGCCGCCTTTACAAGTTGGAATAATGTGACCATCTTCTACAAGGGATTGTATATGTGGAAGTATGTTTTGAATAAGCAATTCGGCGAACCAAAGTTGATAGAGGATGGGTACGATAAGGTACCGAGCCACATAGACGCGACGTTCATATGGAGCGGCTCTGGACATTTGTACTTTTTCAGAGGTAGGCGCTTGAATAACGTGCCCGTTTAATCAAAAACTTTTATTCAGGCGACAAGTATTGGATGTACAACAGTTATAAACCTTTGGGAATGCGCGTTAAGTACATTTTCCCATTACCGATTTGGTACTGGAATGGAGTTCCTAACAATATAAACGCCGCCACATCTATTGGAGGTGATACTTACTTCTTCAAAGGACGCTACTACTATAAATATGACAGCATGAATAGAATGGTGTACGCTGGATATCCGCGAAGTACAGCTAAAAACCTTTTTGGGTGTACATAAATACCCAAAGTGAAAATGGCGGTTTGGAGGTTTCCAAGACAATTGTTTTTTTTTATTAAAGACTGCAAATTATAAATCTTGTTTCAATTGTGCATATTTAGATTTACAATATTTCATACCATATCTGTGTATATTAGTGCAAGAAATGGGTGCCAGCACAGTGCATTGGAACGGTTTAGACTGATCTCTATTGAAAACATAGATTACACCATTAATTCGTTGGATGTAATTTTCCATCTCTTTTGGAAACGTGTGGATTCATGAAGGAAGGTGACTTTTTTTTAACACGTTATTAAAATTTGTTTGCTAGGATTTCGACCACTAAAGGTCATCTTCAGGCCGAACGTCATAAAATGAATGAATACTGGTGTTGATGTAATGTTGTTAGACAGAGAGGATATGTATAGTAGATATATACGCGTTTCAGGTGCGTGTAAAATGTATGACTCGTATAGAAAAAAAATGCATTTTTGGAAATAACATATACTTAGATTCAAAATAGATACAAAATAATCCCCGATTGAGGTGCGCTTTACGTAAATCGTTTACAATTAATCGGGGGTCAAAAAACCACACGTTCGGGAAAGGCTTATGAAAGGGTGTTGTGGAGATGGGTGGTAAATTTGTTTATATAAGTTTAATGCCCGGATTCACAAACGATGATTACGAAAAAAAATATTAGAATGGGAAACAAATGAGCGTACAATCAAAGGTGGCTAACATTCTAATATTTTTAATCACTGATTAATTTTAATCACCGTTTGTGAAACCGGGCATAAGTCGCCCAGATAAGAAATATTAACTTTCACTACATTACACAAATCACCACCTTTGCTTCCAATAATCTAATCCACGAAGAATAACGTGTGATTAGGGCATATAAGGGTTTTGGGTTTTCGGTGACAATCAAACAAATATTAATAAACTCGGAAGGACTCAAAATGAATCGAGGGGCCACTGTTCGGGATTCCATCGACGGCACGTTTCTAACGTTAATGGGTATGGGTAAAACCCGGACCCGGACCCGGACTCGCATTTTGACTGGACTTGGTGGGTAAAACTCGGTCCCGGACTCGGATATTCAACTTTTGATCTTAGGAGATTCAGCGACTTTTATAAAAATGTTATAGTCCTTCAAATAAACCCAAATTCAAGGCGCACGTGAAAAATTAGTTCACACATAGATGCGATTTTTCGATAAACGTTTACAGTAGATCCTTGACAAAAACGGACCTTCAAAGCTTACATATATGTGGAGTGCTCAAGCAAAGCCTCGTGTCCATTACTGGACACTGCCGCACAGACAAAATTCTAAGAAATTGGAGAAGTCCACGCCGAAGACGTAGCCATTTCGCAGTAAGATGACCTGCTGCTGAAAGGAGAAGCTGAGGAATTGCAAAAGGTCACCAGTTACCTTCTACAGACGGAATCCAGGTTCAAGATTTTCCCGCGAGGGTGCGGTGGAAGCAAATGAAAACCGCCACGTTAATGGCCAAATCTAAGGTGGCCCCGATGAAATTGAAGAAAACTCTACCATGGTTAGAGCTTTATGGATTAGTACTGTTCTTAGCTCTTAACATGAGCCAAAGAAACCTTTAACCTCAAAACACCACTTACATTATATATATATATATATATATATATATATATATATATATATATATATATATATATTAGCACTATAGGCCTTGTAAGCCCTTGGCTTGGTGGACAATTGATGCCCATTTTGTCCTATTTTCAGCAGCTGCCCTCCACTCCCGAACCTGTAGTTGCGCTAGATCGCCTTCGACTTCCTTTTTCCACTGGGTTCTGTGTCTTCCTACTCGTCTTCTACCTCCGATTTCTGCTGTCCAAATTTTACTGGGAACTCTTTCTTGGTTTCTTGGTTTCTTATTAAATGCCCCATCCACCTTATTCGTTGTGCCTTTACTACACCTACTATATCAGCATCGTCATACAGCTCCTTCATTTCTTTGTTTGTTCTCCGTTCCCATGTGTCTCCCACTCTTTTACCTCCATAAATTTTTCTCAGAATTTTCCTTTCCCATATGCTGAGTAACAACTGTTCCTGTTTTCTTATCGTCCACACTTCAGATGCGTAAGTCACTACCGGCCTTATAATAGTTTTGTACACTCGGAGTTTCACTGCTCTAGAGAACACGTTTCCCGTTATTATTGATTTTAGCGCGAAAGCACTCTTGGTCTCTGCAGCTACTCTAGCACTAATTTCATCTGCACTCCCGGGTGTTTTTGATGTTACTGTCCCTAGATACACAAACACACCTACCTCTGAAAATCGGTACTCACTGTTTTGGTCTATTGTAATTCTTAAATGGTTGTTTTGGTCACATTTTTTATTGTCCCACACCATATATTTGCTTTTGTTTTCGTTGATTTCTAATCCTATTTTTTTAGCAGTTGTGATAATCTTCTTTGCAGTATTTTGTAGTTCGTCTTTTGACCTTGTTAAGATTGTTAAGTCGTCTGCGAATGCGAGGATTTGGTGCCTGTTGTGACAAATTGTGCCTTGGCGATTGGCGTTGCTTTCTCTCAAAATTTTTTCTAACACGAGGTTGAATAAAGTAGTTGACAGTGGGTCGCCTTGTCTCAAACCGTTCTTGCTTGACTCCGAACTTTCTTGAATATTCTCCGTTCACTCTCACCATATTTGTCGTGTCTTGTAAGGTCATGTTTATCAATCTGATCAGCTTATGCGGTATTCCAAGGTCCTTCAACGCCATGTACAGATGTTCTCTCTTAATGCTGTCGTAGGCTTGCTTAAAATCGATAAACAGAAGGTGCGTTTGGAGTTGGTACTGGTAACTTTTCGCCTGTATTTCCTTTAGTACAAATATTTGGTCTACTACTGATCGTCCTTGTCGAAAACCGCATTGGTATTCACCTAGTATTTCTTCTGAGTAAGTTTTTAATTTGTTGTTTATGCAAGTGGCTAAGATTTTGTACATTGTATCTAGCAGAGCTATTCCTCTATAGTTTTCACAGTTTTGTTTGTCACCTTTTTTGTAAAGTGGACAGATTAATGCTTCGCTCCAAGACTTTGGCATCTTTTCATTTTTCCATATTTCCTGTATCAGTTCAAATATTTGTACATGTAGCTTTCTTCCTCCATATTTCATCATTTCTGTTTGTATTCCGTTTGCTCCTGGGCTTCGATTGTTCTTTAACCTGAGTATTATGTTTATTATTTCGCCCAGTTCCGGAGCTTCTACATGTGCATCGTTGCTTGCCTGTGTGGATAGATTCGTTTGTAATGGTTTCTCGTTTTCTCGACGTTTGTTGAGTAGATCCTCGAAATATTCCGCCCATCTTTCCATTATCTGTTTTTGATCTCCTATTAAATTCCCATCTTTATCCTTACACATTTTTGTTGTCGGCTGGAACCCTCTTTTGACCTTTTTTGTGCCCTGGTAAAAGTTTTAATCTCCTTGTTTTTATATTTTTCTTCTATATCTTCTAATATTTTAGCTTGGTGTTTTCTTTTCTTCGCTCTGCATATTGCTTTACACTTTTTCCGGTGCTCATCGTAGTTGCGTTTGTTTTCTTCTGTATTTGCTTGCAACATCTTCATCCTGGCTCTTTCTTTTTGCTGTACCTCTTGTTGGCATTCAGCGTCGTACCATTCCTTATTTGGTCTGTGTGGCCTTGTAACGCATGTCTGTGCTGCAGACTTTATATTGTCTTCTATCCACTTCACCCTTTCATCTATACTTTTGTGTTGTTCCTTCCTTTTTAACTTTTCTTCCACTGCTTTTTCAAATTTTATTTGGGAATTGTGTTCCTGTATAACTATTCTTGCTTGTTTCCTCTGCCTTGCATTATGTATTGCTGTATTAGTTGGTATCATTTGCTTCACCTTTATTCCAACTAAAAAATGGTCAGAGTCTTGATTTGGCCTTCTGTAGCTTCTTACATCCTTTATAAGTTTTTCATTTTTAATGTCAACTAAAACGGCCAATTGCACAGTCAAAATTAAGTATCGCTTATCGTTAAGCATAAACTTTAATGCCATAGCAACTCTTGTCTTAATAATCGTTGCCATAGATTTTAAGTTCGAGTTCACTTTAAGCAAGGCAATTTTGTTGGTGCAACTGAGCATTAGTCCCTTCCTGTATGTAATGAAACTACTAAGAGAGGACAGATGCAGCCTGCATGTCATTTCGACACAAAAAAATAATTACTCCAAGAAGTTACTTCGTCACACTAATTGTAAAGAATTCCCTTGCCAGAATTATTCATGACGGGAACCAACTCACATGCCCATTGGTGCGTCGAAAATACGGGATACCGCGTGCAAGAAATCTGGTCCACCGGGGAGGCAGAAGCTGCATACGCTGTCTGCGATTCAGTCACAGCACGGCGCAAATTATTGTCGGCTACGTGCGTGAACAGAAATCTTATTCTCAATGACAGATCCGTATTGCTTCTGCAAGGTTATCCGGCCTCATACACAATAAGTCGTTAGGGGTTATAAAAATTTAAGATTAGTGCCTTCCATGCATGTCAAGACAGACATTGAAGGAAACCAAAAAGTAATTCATCTGTTCTTTGTAAGAAAATTCTTAGCCTTGCTAAATGATGAGGTTTGACAAAAAAACTAAACGAAAAAGTTGTAATAATAACCTTTGTCGGCAAAACAGTTTACAGTAATGCATAATCCATAAATTTGCCTCAAAATAGGTGGACGTTTAAACAAACGCTTAATCAATTAAAGATGGCGTAGGAAATGTTCACATGAAACTGATTGTTTGTTAATTTTTCCCACAAACCCCCACACCGTATCTTAAAGTTTCCCATAATAACGCCAACTGATTCTGATATTGTAGTACCAAGTGTAAACTCTTCCATTAATAAACTATAATAGTATTAAACGTAAATTCACAAGAAGGACCGCAAAAATGTTACCGATGAACTTCAATACGCACATTCCAAAATGGATCTCTCTCCTCCATAACATTATTTCTTATACCAAATTAAATAGTCACAGTTGCATAAACTAATTTTTATCTCATTTGTATAATGCGTGAATAGTTGTTACTAAATGTTCCGGTTTATAAATGGGTGTATGC